CCCCTGCACCTCCCTGTCCCCTGCACGTCCCTGCCCCCTGCACCTCCCTGCCCCCTGCACGTCCCTGCCCCCTGCACATCCCTGTCCCGTCTTTCATACTCTTCACAGAATTCTTGGATGCACTTACAACCCTGACTGGTGACATCTGATTCCTAATTCTTTGCTTAAGTTTGGCCTGTTTTAGTTTCCTTTTTGGAAGTATTTATGGCCCTTTTTCTCTGCTGTTTTAAAATTTAGTTATTCAGCGACTGGGGAGATGGCTCAGTGGAATAAGTGCTTCCCTGGCAAGCGCAAGGGCCTGAGTTCAATCCCCAGTTCCACAAAAAAAAAGTTATTCTTTCGTTTTCTTTATCACCATTTATGTTCTATTCTTTGGGTTCAATTTGAAGGATTTTTTTTTCTTTTGCTCTGAATGCCTTCAGGGCAGGTTTGGCTGGCTTGAGTTGTGGGGATCAAACCACAGCAACCTAAGCCTGACTGCTTTGTTGAAGCAGCCCTTTGGGTTCAATTTGAAAATTACATTCTCTTCCACCAATGCTGGAAGTTAACAGAGCAGATCAAAGCTGGTCGATGAAGAAATGGTGTTAAGAGCATAAACTCTAAAAATATGAAAATAGGGATCAGGGACAACAACTAGCAGAGCTGCTGAGGAACAATGTGACAGGTGCTTGCTTTAAAAACACCTGTGCAGTGTCTGTCCTGGTGCAGCTGCCTGCTCTCTGGAAAGATCTACCTTGGCCCACTTTCACCTCCTCCCTTCTCCTATGAACAAATGGTTTTCCACACTTTGCTCTTAGCATCAATGTTCTCTGTGCAAGCCACTGCTAAATCATCGTGAATTTAAGCCAAGACAAGGAATGAATAATCCAGTAACACAAGGTTTTTGAAGACTGGAAGCAAACGGTCTAAAAATCCTTCCTGTGCTGGTCCTCTGCTGGCATTAGAATAAATGCTTCTTGAAAACTTCCTCTGGTACACTGTGGGTTATTCTGATATTTTCTGGGGAACGGTTCCTTACCCGCACTCTTTCCATCTGCGTGCTGAATGGGTACAGCAATTCAAACAGAATCAGGCCTAAGGAAAAGATGTCCACTTTATGAGAGTAGTTATTTCCTTGGATCTGAAATACATATACAAATATTTGTTAAAAAATGAACAGATTTTCCCTGCTGTATTTTAGATTGCTTTGATCCTAATGGTTTGTGTCTCCCTGTTCGTACCTTTTGGAATGGCAATGTTTATTTTGTGCCATTGAATGTTGGAAGTGTTTAACTTTTCATGAATTTGCCTTATATCTTGGAAGAGACTTGGGTGGACTTTTCAGTAATGCTGAGGCTGTTAGGACTTTAGCAACTCTTGGAGATGGACTAAAGTGTCTTTTGCATAGAAGGATGTGAATGAGTCATTGCAGGGACAGGAGTATAATGTTACTGTTGGTGTCTAGATATTCCCCTACCCCAATGCAGTCATGGAGTGGGATTCTAGAGGTTTTGATTGATTCATGGTCCAATGCTGAGATTACGGGATTATGGGATTATAGGATTATGTGAGTGTTGCAACCACCCCAGAGTAGGCAGCTTGCATACAATATAAGGGAGAAAAAGGGGCTTGCTCTCTGCTGCCCTCACTTTTGTTCTTATTACTTTTGCTGTTTTATTCCACCATGAACTGTTTCCCTCCTCCACGTGTCACCCTGCTTTGGAACCAGCTGAGTATGGCCTGAAACCTTCACAAACTGTTAGCTAAATAAACCTTTCTTTCCTTAAAAAAATAAAAATAAAAATAAAAAACGAACAGAGACAGTGCTGCCCAATCCTAAATTGTCTTAGCCACCTCTTGGTTTAAAATTAACTGTGTGAAGCGTGTCAGCAAAGAGTTAACTTCTCCAGCCCCAGCTGCCAGCCCGCTCGGGACACCAGGTAATTGCCTCCTTCGGCATCACAGAGGGAGGCGGCCCAGGTGCCGCCGCTGAGATATGCATCAGCAGAGCAGGTGGCAGAAACCTGGAGCCCAGACGCTAGCTAGCACCGTGGGAGCCAGGCAGCGCGCATTCCCCCAGGTGAAGCGTTTTCAAAGCCAGCTCTATCTACCTCCAATCTCATTCTAATCACCTTACCCTGGCCCATTTTTATGAGAAAATCTTCATGACTCCAAACCACTAATCAGTCCCGGCTGGCCTTCATTAAGGCACTTAATTGCAGACCCCTCTGCATCCTTAGTTGCATTTTTCATGTGCATATTTTTTATTCTTTACAACTAGATTATAAAGTCCTCTGGGGAAAGAACTGCTTCTTTTGTCTTCCTACCTTCCAGCACTCCGCTAAGTAGAGAGAAGCTCTCAATAAAGGCTTGTTAAAATGATTCGAAAGAATCACAAACGAACTCCTCCATTAGGGAAAGCCTCATCCGAATTACAAGTGACCTCCTGGTGACTCCAGAGAGCCCTTTCATTTGAGAGAATTTCTCCAGGCCTCCAGCTTGATCCCAGGTAGCTAGGAGGAGGGGGTTACCGGGAAAGGATCACCAGCACCAGCTCTTTGGGACTGCAGGCCAGGGCCAGGAGCCCTAGGCGACCTCCCCTTCCTCTGCACTGCTCCCAGCAGCCACCTTCCACACTCAGGCCAGGCCAGCTGCCTGCGCTCGGCAGGTGGATCCCAGGGAGCGTCCTGGCTGTCAGCCCTCCCCACACACTAGTGTTCTCCTGGGCCTTCCTGTCTGTCAGGCGGCGCTTGGCCGCGGGACTCCCTGTCCTTTTGATCATGCGTAGTAAAGACATTTTCCAAAGAACACTTCCAGAGCCGATCTAGATGGAGGCAAGGACAATGGGATAGGTGTGTGTGAAGTAAGGGGGATTAATGGCAGGGTGCCTTTTACAGTAATGAACTTCAACACAGCCCCATATTTCTTTTTAAAAAAATCTTTTGTGGGCCGGCAAGATGGCTCAGTGAAATATGCGCTTCCCTGACAAGCGCAAGGGCCTGAGTTCAATCCCTGGTTCTGCCAAAAATAAATAAATAAATAAATAAATGGACCAATAAAAACTAATTAAAAAGAAATTAAAAAAGTAAAATGTCCAAATAAATGTTGAGTAAACTGCTGAGCTGACTGAATACAATGCAGCCAAAATATTTTGTAATGCTTAATACTGCAGGAAATGCTCATGTTTTATTACCGTATCCAAAATGTTATAGAATAGAACATCAATTTTCTAAAAGAAGGGTACAGACAGAAGAAAGGTGCTAGGTAATGTTTCAGGGATTTTTTTTTTTTAATCAAGTAGCTTTCACTTCTTCTTTAACTTTGTTCCTTCTACTAGCTACATTCCCTAGCTGAAAAATTAACACATTACAAGAAAAAAGTGTCATTTGTTATTTTTAAGTATTAAATGTCAAAAACCTAAAACATCAGGAGTTAGGTATAAAGCTTCAAGGGAGGAAGAATATAATATGACCTTCCAGAGGTTAGACTGACTTTCACCACTGCAGAGATGAGAACAGGGTGTATTTTTTTTGTTGGCAACTACAACTAAGAATGAGTAAGTGTTTTCCTGAAACTCAAAATTCAAAGTATTATTTCCAACCACTTAGTAATGATTAATTTTTTAAAATGCTACTAGAAACCTCTTCAGTATTAAGTCTCACATACGACAATGTAGAAAAACTAGCAAGTATAGGGAAGTCTAAAACAGATTAAAATCCATTCAAAGTCCCCCTAGCCCAGAAGTAGTGACTGTTGGGGGCTATGACCCTCACGGTCCTTTTTCCGCTGAATATACATATGCATTTATTGCATTCTGCTACTTCTCACAACTTCAATTTTTCCTTCTACCAGGTCCTCGCCACATCACTTATCCAGGAGAATTCATTACTGGGGCCAAATGATTGCTTTTTCTACTTGCGCTAGCTTTGATACTTCTGGTTGCAAATAATGAAAACTTGTATCTCTGCTACCCTTTCTAATTTATTCGTGCACTCCCTCCCCTTAAGTACAGATGACCCTTCCGGTTGCCAGCCCTGGCGACTGCCCTGGATCTGGCCTAGGCTCCGCCTCTCTCCTGTGGCTCCTTCCTCTGCGTGCCCCCCTTCAGCAGAAATCACTAAACCCTTCAGCAGACATGCGCTTCTGGAATGAAGGTCCTGAAAACAAATTTACTCCACGCAGAACCTTGATAATGTCTATGGATTTCCATAGTTTTCATCTTTCATTTTTTCTTAGTACTTTCTATGAGTACTTCTACGTCACTATTGACCTAATAGTTACTCAGGGTAGGGGTAGGGGTTCGTTGCTAGCTAGCAAAACCAGAACCAAAGCAAACCTCTACAACCTCTTCCATTGCATTATGATTACAGGAAGACCCCACACACCACCGCCTTGGATTGAACCCAAGGCACTGCTCATACTAAAGAGCTCCACCACTAAGCTACCTTCTCATGCCATTCTACTTTGTTTTGAGACAGGGTCTCACTAACTAGCCTAGGCTGGCCTGCAACTTGTGATCCTGCCTCAGCCTCCTGTGGAGCTGGGATTTTGGTTTTTTTTACATTCAATTTCAGCATCACAAGAGTCACAGGCACTTATTCCTGGCTGGTTTTGTTGGCTTACCTGACAGCCACTTGTGTGTGTGTGCGTGTGCGTGTGTGTTTTATTTTCTGCGATACTGGGGAATTTTTTTTTTTTTTTTACAGGACCTTGGGCTTGCCAGGCAGGTGCTTGTGCCCTTGAGCTACCTCCCCAGCCCAGTCACTTGTAACAGGCAACGAATTCACAAGGCTCTGAAAGAAGAGTAGTGCGTGTCTCCCCGCACTCCCCCAGGCCCTGCTGGGTAGGCCTGCTGGCCCCTGCCCCTCTACCGCTATGCCTACAACCCTTCATTTCTTGCACATCCTTTTGGTTTTCTTAACATAAGCAAACCTGAACATATTTTCCCCCTCTTTATACACAAACTAGGTTTGCAAACTTTGATATTTTTGTCTTACTATGTAGTTCAGCTTTTTTGTCTTTTTCAGACGGGGTCTCACTATGCAGTTCAGGCTGGCCTTGAACTCACTTTGTAGCCCATACTGGTCTCAAACTCCCAACGATCCTTCTGCTTCAGCCCTCCAAGTGCTGGGGTTACAGGCATGCACCACCATACCCACAGAGAAAATGACTTTAAAAAATGATCACTCTGGCAGAGTGCAGTGGCCAGGGTTCAATCCCTGGTGTGCCATGCCAACTCCACCCCTGGGCACACTGAGACAGTGACTGAGACTGCAGCACCTGGGAGGCTGAAAACAGGAGAGTCCGATCTATGTAGTAAGACCCTGTAGACCTTGTACTAAATACAAAAAAAAAAAAAAAAAAAAAAAAAAAAAAAAAAGAAAAGAAAAAAGAAATGATCACACTGAATTTGATGTACTATCAAGGACGACTACCACTGATTGCCTGAAATGAACATTGTTTCCGTTTCCAACTACCTATCTGTACAGGTCCAGATTTTCTTTGTGTACATCAGAACCCACTACAATGGATTTAATACAGAAACACATATGATATCTAGTTTTGATAGCTTAGATAATGAAGAGATTCACAAAACATGTAAACATTGGGGCCGGGGAGATGGCTCAGTAGGATAAGCGCTTGACTGGCAAACGCAAGGATCTGAGTTCAATCCCCGGTTCCACCAAAACAAAAACAAAAACATGTAACTATCACTCCTTTTCATTGTTTTGGAAAATACTTTTCACAATGAATTGATAAAGCTTTATAAGTCTGTCAATATCTGTTTCTAACAGGGCAGATACTGACAGATGAAAGTCTCTAAGAAAAGCTTGCAGGTCTTCTGCCATTTTAACGGGTGTAACAGAGACTGAGACCTGAGGAACAGAGCCTGTGCATCGGAACCCAGAAAGGCTGACCAGGAGGCCGCTCTGGAGTTCCCGGATGTCTTACTGGAAGCTGTCCAGGAAGGGTCACAGAGGTCCACTCTGGACAATGTCTCTGCTGTTAGCTGGCTCTGAGACTGGTTTCGACAGAGCCCACTCAGGGCTAACTGGACACACCTCGGGAGGGTGACATTCAGAGTCTCTTTCTAAATCCCTTGCTGCTGCCAGATGTCATTCAGCTGGCAACAGCAAGTGTCCTGCGCTGTGTTTCTCTCAGTCGACCCGAGAAGGATGGCGCTGTGCTGCCCCTGGCACCTCACTGCCCGTTTTCATAGCCTTCTGCCTGGATCCTGGCTATTCTAATACAAGCAAGGCGGGAGGTTCCGCAGGGGCGCCTAGACTACCGCCCTCTCAGGTCCCAAGTGCTCACCTGCTCGGGGCTCATGTACAGTTTGGTCCCCACCTGCCCCGTGTGCGTGGCGTACGCTGGCATGGGGGTCAGCACTGTCTGCTCGTCCTCGTCCTGGTCCATGGCCGTCACCAACCCAAAGTCTCCAACCTTGACCACATCATCCAGTGTGAAGAATATGTTGGACGGCTGAAGGAGATGAACAGAAGGACGTGCAATGACCATGTGGAAAGGAGAGAGAAAAGATTTCCGTGACTACAGACAAGAAACACCAAAACCAGATACCCTGAAGTCTACTGCTCTTTACAATTGGCTCATATGAAAATAAAAAGCTTTTCTATGCCAGACAAGTAGTGTGGGATGGGAAGGGTGGCAAGGTGGACCTCCCGAACATCTCCTTGAGGAAGCCCTAGAAATCCACTCTCTATTGGGCAAGCCTCAACCTTATTGTTCTACATTTTTTCTCTACGTTTATAACTTAAACCACCAACGAAAATGCAAAAGGCATACAGAATGCTTTCAATGTGTCAGGTACTATTCTGAGCAATGTACTGATAACTCAGGTAAAACAATCCCTTGAGAAAGGTACCGCTCACCCCCATTTTACAGATTGGAACCTGAGGCCCAGAAATTAAAAAAAACTGCCCAATGTCTGCCAGCTAATAAGTGGTAGAGCAGCCTGGCTCTGTGAGAAAAGATCTTTTGTTTTGTTTTGTTTTAATTTTATTTATTTATTTATGTGTGTGTGTGTGTGTGGCCAGCTCAGCCCACCAGGGGGCGGGGCTGGCTGGCATGTGGTGCTGGGGGATTGAACCGCAGTCCCTGTGCTTTGCTAAGCTTGTTCTAAGTAGGTGCTTTAGACCACTGAGCCATCTCACCAGCCCCTTGTTTTGTTTTTGAAGTAGGGTTTCACTATGTATATTAGGCTGGCCTTGAACTCAGGATGTAGCCCAGGCTGTCCTCCAATTCACAGAGATCCTTCCACCTCAGGCTCCTGGGTAATGGGATTACAGGCATGCAATACCACACCAGCAAAAAGCGGATCTTCTGTCTCGCTGTCATGTCCCATAACAAGGAAAGCTCCTGCTCTATGGCTGCTAAACACTATTGGATGACGAGTGGAAGGACACTTTTTTTGAAGTGTTCAAAAAAATACAGGGCCTCACTATGTAGCCCAGGCTGGCTTGGTACTCACTGTGATTCTCCTGCCTCAGCCTCCCAAGTGCTGAGATTACAAGTGTGTACTACCACACCTGGGAAGTATGCGTGTTTTAGTTTGTGTGTGAGGAGAGAAACAAGACTATCCAGGGGAATAAGGCCTCTTGGCTGGCAGCCCCTACACCACCTCTTCTAAAACCCAAATGTGCAAGACCAATCTACATGCCGACTTCTATGTGAAAGCATTAACAGGGTTTCTATAAGCCAGTGTCCCGTGGGGTCATCAAACTCAAAGTCCCATCTACAACATCATTCCCCCAGAGGCTATCAGGTAACACGGCACAATCCACCAAATAAGGAAGCCAAGTAGTCCTTAAAACTGAATCTCATGCTTCAAATACTGCCAGAAAATAGCACTGTGTTCCCAACATCCAAACTGCCGCTGTACAAACTGAGCTCTGGACCAGCGGCCCACCACTAAGCCACATCCACTCCCAGCCCTACAAACTGCACTCTCAAGCAGTCCAATTACTGTGTGTAGCTGAAACCTACGCAGCCTGCAGATCTCCCACGAGCACCCCTGTCCCTGAGACCGCGACTATGCTGTCCCATTCCTTCCTCCCTGCTGCCGTCCTCTGATGGCCGATGGCGGTTACTTCTGCACCGGAAATAGGCAGCACTGCTCCTCCTCGTCCTCACTCCCTGCGTACCGCTCCCACAGCAGCTGTCCTGCTCGGCTCCAGGAGCTGCCTTCCTCCTGAGCACAGCCTGCAACAACCCCGCGGTTGCCTACACCAGACCAAAAAAATTCCCTCTCTCCACAGGGAGGCTGGTTTAAGCTGGGTCTGAGACTGAGCCCCAGACTTCTGGCCGGTGGGGAGAGAGCTCTTTCCTCTGTAGCCCCAACCCCAGAGACCTCTGCTTTGGTTCCAATCTAAGAAGTCTCTCCAACGCACCACGGCTTCAGAGGACCATGAGGGCTCTGACTTCATCAGTGGAATTCACTGATGAATCCATGACTCGATGGCTTTATTGGGAGGTGCTGGACACTTAGAAAGGGGAGCCTAGTTGAAGAGAGTGGTCGTGGGTCCCCCAGGGACTCTGTCTTGCTCTGGGCCCTTTCCTCTATGGCTCCCATTTCTCCCTTCTTCCTGGCTGCTGTGAGTAAGCGCAGTTCTCTGCCACACACTCCTACCCCAACAGACTGTCACTGCGGACCCAGCCACAGCAGGGGCAGTGACCACCGACTTGAGCCTCTGAAACTAAGCCAGAAGCAAGCTTTCCTCTGAAGCAGCCAGGAGGTTGACTAAAACCCTTGGAAAGTGAATCGTGAATGCCTATCAGCGGTGCTGACTGCAAGGGGAGAGCCCGGCTGAACACAGAAATAAGAAATGAGAGAAGAGAGAGGCTAGGTTTGGGCCCAATCACTTGATCCTACCAAAAGTTTTACAACTATAATCCTCAAGTTTAGTCACGTGGGCCAACAAAGCTCCTCTTCTAGCTAAATCAGTAAAGTGCTTTGGGTTGCCAACCAAAGAAAACTCAAAACGATATGAGCGCTAGAACATGCCAGGTAGTGTACTGGGGCTCTAACAGGTGAATGGAATGGACACTGTTCACACCACTACAGAGACTGGAGCACAAATAACCTAGGTGTGGTGAGGAGGCAGGTGAAGGGGACAGGGCCAGCCCTCGCCCTGTGAGAAGCCCCGGCAGGTGCACCGCAGCAGGCTGGCCGCCACTGTCCTAGGCAAGCTCTCTATCTGAAGAACTGAGGAAAGTCTGAGGTGGACAGAGCACAGGACTAGGGAGCTGGAGCGGCAGGAACGGAGCACACCGAGGACCAAATGTGCCCGAAATACAAACAAGGAGGGTAAGGGAAGACTGACTGGAGACTTCACTGAGCTCATAAAGGCAGGTTATAATGTAAGATAATGTAGTTTTACTTCTGAGAAGAAAATTTTCATGGTATTTTTTTCAGCACACTAAACATCTTTGTATTTTGAAGAATAAAACTATTCAGATTTCTAGAAACTAAAGATGAAATTAACCTTTTTCTTTAGAATTTTTGAGCTGCATATACAGAAAATCTTTTTTTTTTTAATTTTCCAGCTCTTTATTTTGAATACAATGTACAATATTTGAAAATTCAGAAAGACAGTTTATCTGGTGCCTCTTATGTTTGCCTCCCACCTTTGGTATTCAAACAGCCTACAATGCCTGTTTCTTTCTTATCACAATTTTTTTTTTCGATTTTTTATTTATTTATTTATTTATTTTTATTTTTTCCCATAATTTTATTGAGAACAGAAAATCTTTAGACAACATTTTGCATTAAAGAAATTTCACCATCTCATTTATATTATAAAATTAACAGATTATTCACTGTTAGTGAAAACGTAATTATACTGTCTTTCCAACTTGGCATGTGTGTATGGCAAGCGTTATAGCCGAGTGGAGTGAGTCCATCAGTCGGCCATCTCCTTCCAAACCTAAATGGCCACGACTCTCTCAAGTTGGAGCTGTCTGCTCTCCCATGAGCAGCCTTCTCCAACCAAAGTAAGTCCTCGCTGAGCTTTTCACTTGGTGCAACTCCTAGCAACCAAGTTTTTTTTTTTTTTTTTTTTTCCGGAACTGGGGATTGAACTCAGGACCCTGCGCTTGCCAGGGAAACACTTATTCCACTGAGCCATTTCCCCGGCCCTAGCAACCAAGTTGTAATCAAACCAAAATCAATGAAACACATCCATTATATATAGCTAGAAATTATACTGGAAAATCGGATTTCTAATTCTTATTCCTGTTATCCTAAACCTCCTAAAATATACTCAAGAGTTTAAAGAAAAAAAAATTTTTAAACAAAACAAAACAAAAAAAAAGAGTTTAAAGACTTGCTGGTGACTTTAGAAGAAAATAACTTTTGCCCAAATACCTACACTGGTCCTGAGGTGAAGTTTGTGGTTACATAAATAAAACTGAAATTATGTAAAATGAATCCAAATCTGTTAAGAACTTAAGCTACCTGCACCAGATCAAGATCCACACTCACTACACCTAGACAGTGACCACCCTCAGCACGTGAATGGCAGAAATTAGTTAAATAAGGCTCCTGGGCACTTACTTTCACAAACACAGTAAGGAAATTCTGCAAGTTGTGTAAGAACTCTCACAATGCGGCGCACTGCCCCAGTGCTACTCTGCACTATACGTGAGAAGCACGTGGCTGGCGGCTTTCCAGCCAGTTCCTAGTGGCCCCATGCTGCCCTGCAAAGCCCACCAGGGCTGCTTGCATCAGGGTTTTAGGAAAAGCAGAGAATAACTGCTTGCGGTGGATTTTACATAAGGACTCCTCTCTCTCCTTTAAGACCACCACAAACGTTATTTAGAGAAAAAAAAAAACCCATAAGCACACTACAGAGGGAGAGCGGGACATGCAAGAAGCTGATGTTTTTTCTCCTCCTGTGCTCCTCAGGGTCCTTCCCTGAAAACCTGACCGTCCTGCAAGTGCTGCGCTGAGCCCCAGGACTGCGCAGAGTCCACACACCTACCTTCAGGTCCCTGTGCATGAGCCCTTTACTGTGCAGAAACTCCACGGCCTCGGCGATCTGCAGGAAGATGTGCAGACACACGCCGCGCTCCCGCTCCTCCAGCCTGCACCGCTGGTTCATCCAGTCCTTGAGGTTTTCCTTTCTGCACAGCTGCATCTGAATGTAAAGATACACCTTTGGAGAGCTGGGCTGGAGTTTCTCTGCAGTGTTCTTAGTGAGATCTAAACTTAAAGTGGTTGGTCGTGGAGGAGAAATGGACAGGGTGGCTTCCGAAGAAGACTTGCTGCTGGAGTACGGGAAGGCAGCGAATTTACTAGCACAGTGGTTGCCGATATGCACCCGGTTAGTTTTGAGCTCGTCTTTACTGGATGCGTTATCACAGCCGGAATCCTCAAACACTATAGAAGAGGATGTCTCCCTTGACCTTACATTGGGAGCCTCTGAAGGACAGAGTTCAAAGGAGTGCCCCTCGCCATTGCCATCCATGGTGCCGTCCTCCACGTCGCAGTCTGTGAGGCAACTGTCCTGCAGGTTGTGCGCTGCGTCCGCTGACCCACTGCTGTCTCCGCAGTCTGCTACCGACAGTTCCAGCGGGAAGAACTGGCTGTCGGAGGAGCTGGTCTGGCCACAGGAAATCCCCACAGAGAAAGACCTGCTTCTCTGTGGCGAAGGCGCGATGATCTCGATATGCTCCTTTGTGGAGAAGGGATCCACCCTGCGGATCTTAACAGATGGTGCATCCATTGGGCTGAGAGAGCTGAGGGGCCAGTCTGTGCTAAAAATGGGAGACACACAGGCAGGAGGTGACAATGCGCTGAGATGCATTTTTTGTTACAGAGACTTCACCTGTAATAAAGCTAGCTAGCAAATGACCAACAGCAAGACACACAATCCACTCCTGAAACACTGTGACTTGAAAGATTAATTTATCCTTCTAACAGTGATCTGGGGATCTAGGACGATCACACCAGAGGAGCCAAGGCTGTAGTGCACAGTGCTGGCCTGAAGAACACCACGGGAGAGCACCCAGGACTGCCTCCCGGCTCTGACTCTGAAGTCTCCCAGTCTGAGTCACAGTAGCTCACAGTTCCTTCAGACAAAGGTCTCGGGATACACCGAAAGGTCCACTGCTGCCAGCCACCCAAGGCGGCTTCCACGGGGCCATCCTTTCTAAGTATACCCAGTTAGTGCGGGCGAGGCTGTCCAGCTACCTAGGGTTACCTTTAACTGCAAATATAAAAGTGCTTCATTGGCCAAGCAATGGCCGTGACTCATCCACATGGCTGACACTGACAAAGGATCTACAATCTGAGGTACAGGATCTCAGGATAAACCCTGAAGGGAATTCACTGACCTTATCAGACCCAAAAGCTACAACTCTTGTTGCATAGGTCCTGCTTTACCTTGGTCTTAACCATTCAGCAGAAAAGTATAAAAACGAAG